TTATATGATTCTCCATAACCAGTTATAGAAAACAAAGTATTTCACAATGCCTTTTCAGCAATTCTGATTGTTGGGGGGGAAATTCTAAACAATAATGTGCATCTTTTGTCAAAATAATGAATGTAATCAATGTAGAGAAAAGTTAAGTAGAAATCATTTGCCTCACAGACACTGGGAGGTGGGGGGTATATTGGGGTTCTTGGTGGTGAAAAATGAGTACTGGTGATGGGAAAGGTGTTTGATCATTGCATGACCGAGACTCAAACCTGAAAGCTTTGTAACTTTTCCCACAGTGATTCAATTAATAAATATAAGAAGAAAAAAATAAATAAAATTATGAAAAAAAAAGTAAGGTGGAGTTCATGCCCAATTCAATGAGCTAATCAGTGGCTGAATAAATAGCAGTACTCCTACATAAAACAAAAAAAATTTTTTTTTGAATGGTTTTATATGTACTGGTGGTGGGGAATGTGCACTGGTGGAGGGACGGGTGTTTGATCACCGTGTGATTGCAACCCAAACATGAAAGCATACAACGATCTCATGGTGATTCAATAAAATTAATTAAAAAATAGTTTTATGTGTTCTTTGGAGGCGTGCCTGTTCAGACTTTCTGCTCATTCTTTAATCAGTGCTTTTTGATTGCGGAGTTCTATGACTTCATATAATTTGGATATTTGCCTCATTGCTTTTCCTTTGCGTGTGTTCCCCACCCCACCATACTGAAACCTTGTGCGACACGACATCAAGTATGTCTTTCTATTCAGCAGGCCATTCAATTTGGATGCAAGTTTCTCTCAGGGTGCAGAAGGTTAGTTTGAGGTAATCCCTTGTTTATTCTTGCCTTTATACTGAGGCTGATTCCTTAAACACATATGGAATATATCATCTGTGTTTCTTCTATGTTATCAAGTCTTACATCCCAATCATTAATTTGAATCAGATTTTATAAATGGTGTTCATGGCCGCGTGTTCCCAGCACCATTTATTAAAGACACGTGACCTGTTCCATTCTATGATCTTGGCTCCTGTGTTGTAAGTTAGTTGCCCATATATCCGTGGTTTGATTTCTGGATTCTCAGCTTCGGTCCCCTGATCAGAGTGTTTTCATTCCCTCACCACGTTGTTTTCATCACCTACAGTTTTAAGTCAGAGACCTCGATGCCTTCTTTTTTTTCTCAGGAGTGTATTTCCTACTCAGGTAAGTTCGCTTTTTCTTAGGCACCTTGGTTTACAATCCTGATTTAACGGGAAGGTTTCCGGCATAAATCATATCGGCGCCACACCCTCTTCAGAGTGTATGATACTTCCCTCAAGCGCTGTCCAGGGTCCCTGGCCCCATGCCACCCCACCCCCAGTCCCTGCCACAGTAAGCTTCCTAGTTAGGGCTTTTCTAGTTCCAAAAAATTTCAAGGTTTTTTAATTCTAACACTGTGAAACATACCACTTTGGTTTTGTGGCAGACTACACTGAGTCTGGCTATTTTAAGACACACTTTTGATGGAAACATTTCATCTATTTATACAAAAAAAAAAACTATCTAGAGAGTTCAATGGGCTAGAGCGGATGCTTTGCTAGCAGGAGTTTAGGTCTTGATCCCTGGCACTAAACGCTCCCCAGAGCACCACCATGAGTAGCCCCAGGCACAGAGCTAGGAGTAATCTTGGAGCCGTGCTGGGCATGCGCCCTCAGAAAACAAAACAAAACAAAACAAAACAAAACAAACAATAAATCTATCCACCCAATAAATATGTTATTACTTATGCCTGTGTATCAATAAATAAGCATACCAACTGCTTATTTCTGTATTTGAATGGTTTTTTTTTTTTTGCTTCATTCCTCTTTTACTACTATTTGCATCAAGTAAAAACTTTATAGTGCAGGGACTGAAGAGAGGGTACAGTGGGGACGTTTGCGGTGCTCGTGGCCAAGCTGAGTTCCATCCCCGGCATCCCATATGGTCCCCCAAGCACCTCCAGGAGTAATTCCTGAGTGATTTCTGCAGAGCCAGGAGGAACCCACAAGAATTTCTGGGTATGACCCAAAAAAAAAAAAAAGAAGAAGAAGAAAAGCTTTATAGTGCCACAATTTTCACTATTTTTCAATTAATAGTTTGGTGTTGCCCTAAACTTACTATACACACCTTAACAGCAACAGCTTCAGATTATACTGAATCATAAACACTATCCTACATAGTTCTATTGCTTTTCTCCCATTTCTTGACATTGTTGCTACAAGTTATGCTTAAAAATGTTAAAAAGCCAAAACTGAATTGTTAACTTTATAAATTTATGCCTTTTCGAGAAGAAAATAAAGGATAAATAATATCTTATAATTTTTAAATATTATTTCTAGTTTTCTTCATTTGGATTCAAATTATCATCTGGAGTAATTTCCTTAGCACAGTACAGCTTTGATCCCATCCACCTTTGTGCTGTTGTTAGAAAATAAATTACTTTTTGGTATGTTAGAAGTCCAACAATACATTATATGGTGTTTTATATGATTGCTTTTAAAATCAGTTGGGAAGAAAAATGAATTTTCTCTATCTTCTATAATCACCTTTACAATTCCTTTTTGGGGGCAAATTAAAATTACTTTCTGGATCACCTGCTCTCAGCCTGAAGAACTTCCTTTGGTATTTCTCGTAAAGTGAGTCTTCCGGCAACAAATCATCCCAGTTTCAGTTTATCTACAAATGTCATGCCTTCACTTTCACTTTCCTGTTCCTGCTGTGGCAGAGACCGGGAGGGTGCCAAGGACTGCCCCTTGCCCGCAGGCAAGGCTGGCAGTGCTGGGGAGCGGGCCCTACCACACAGGCCCTCACCTTCGGTTCTGAAAGGCAGCGTTTGAGAATACAGGAGTCCCGATGCCAACTGCTTCCTCTAACATGCTCTATTCCACCACCTTATCTGCTGCCTCTGGCAAGTGTGTCTGCTGAGAAGTTGGTGTTTAATCTCAGTAGGTGGCAGCTGTTCCCCCCCCCCCCCCCCGCCCCGCTGCTTTCAAGATTTTCTCCTTGTCTCTGTCTTTCAGCATTTTAAATACAATTTTAATCTCTGTGGATCTTTTGTGTGCATCCTATTTGGAGAGCATCAGACTTCCTCGTGTTTTTGAGGAAGTCAGGGAACTTTGAAGCATTTATTTCTTCCAATACTTTTTCTGCTCCTGTCTCTCCTTTTTCTTCTTCTGGTTTTCCCATCAGTCGTATGTTGGTGCCCTTAACAAGCAGCCTACATTTTTCTGAGATTCTAATTTTTTATTTTCTGATTTTCTTTTACCGGGCAATATTTCAAATTATTCCATTCCATAATTTTCACTGATGCTTTTCCTTTGTTTCTTTTCATGGATATTTCTGCTGCTTAAAGAAATAAGGGAAGGTGACGTCAACACCTTCCCTTATTTCTTTAACCCTCGTTTCCTTTGGTCCTGAGATGTGACTACGGCAGCTCCTCTGAGGCATGCTAACTCTGATGCTGAGCACTCTTCCAGCAGCTTCTCTCCCTGCTCCTCTGCCCGCCTCTCTCGGATGTCTGTACGGTCGGATTTTCCTCCTCTTACGCGTGTCTTCTAATTTCCGGCCGGAAGCAATACTTCGGGTAACAAAGACTAGCTCTGGCCTTGCTGCTAGGATCTGTTGTTACTATTAGCTTACTTGTTCATGGCCAGCCGAATTATTTTAGTGGTGCCTGCTTCCTCATTTATCTCATAATCTGTGTTAACAAACTGAATGAAGCATTGTCTTTCATCCTAAATTCAACCTCTGAAGAATACTGCCACACTAAAAGCAAATAGAGAGTAAGTTTTTAAGATGGGGCTGGTTTCAAAGATAACAGACAAAACAGCTAAGGAAACAGCATGCTGGAGAGGTGAGTCAACCTAACAGGCCAGCGAGGGCTCAGAGCTGTTTACGCCGACGCTCTGAAGTGCTATTCTGGTACCACTGAGAAGCGAAGATCACAGGCCCTGCACAAACTGCTAAGCACCACAGAGAACAGATCTCAGCTCAAAATAAAAGGAACAAGTTTTTTAAAACATGCGATTTAACAACAGCATATGCTAGCTTATAAAATAATGAGGTCTCCAATTTTAGACAAAAGTCTTCATCCTATAGAATTTCTCGTTTTAGGCAGGGATATTTCAGTGGATTACCATATTTTCTCTAGGGCTTGGGGCGAGAGCACAATGGATAGGGCATTTGCTTTGCACGCAGCCGACCCGAGTTCAATTTTTCTGCCCCTCTCGGAGAGCCCGGCAAGCTATTGAGAGTATCCTGCCTGCATGGCAAAGCCTGGAAAGCTACCCGTAACGTATTCAATATGCCAAAAACAGCAACAAGTTTCACAAAGGAGACGTTACTGGTGCCCGCTCGAGCAAACTGATGAACAATGGGAGGACAGTGCTACAGTGCTACCACATTTTCTCTAACAGCTACACCTGAGCACCACCAAACATGGCCCCAGACCAAAAACAAAGAACGGTGGCTTTGAATATATCCGTTTTGACTTAACGCAAAGCACTTCACACATCTACAAAGTATTATATTTATACAAACTACTATTATACAAACCATATTCATTTCTAGAAAAGTGTTCAAGAGAAGGCCTTTTAAGTGTTTATTTAGCAAAGAGTCCTCTGTAGTTCTTATGTTAGAAGTATTTTTCTGGGCCAGAGGGATAGCTTAAAGGGCTGGTGCACATTCTTTCCTTGTTGGGGGCCCAGGTTTGATTCCTAAACACTTCATGGCCCTCCAAGTATGCAGCCAAATGTAACCTCTACGCATCAACAGGTGAGGCTCAATAAGTAAAACAAAAATACGATTCTTCCTGATTAGTCAGATTAACTAGTAGGTTCCTGAATAAACCAGTAGGAGAAACAGTTAATTTGAATTTCTACATTTTTTCACACATTTGCCTTAAAAGCATTATAACAAGTGATTCATTTTCTAGTGTATCAGATGTTACAGAATGATTTCTTAAATACTGAAAACTGGAACTCACCAGAAGAAATCTTACCAGCACCTTTATAGTCAACAGAAAATGCAGGTGTAACTCCATTGGCAGAACCCAGTTCACACTTGGAAATTTGGTAAGGGGGCCTCAGCTTGATTTCTGTCTGCATGTCAGATAGATTTATCTTTGTTGAAAGAGACCTGGGATTATTATATCGTTGCTTGGTCCTCTGAATGAAGTTATCTACATAAAATAAAAAATAAATTTCCTTGTAGTCATTTGTTAATTAAATCATTTTAGTGTGTGTTATTTATGGGCAGTAAATTTTGTAGATACTTTAATTTATTATCCCAAACTGCTCAATTTGTTGTGAAATGCTCTAATGTTATTTGTATTTAACGGCTAATATATTATCGAGTCATTAGCTTTTTACTCTAGAAATTAATCACTGTTAAATAAACTAAGGATTTAATATTATATGGCTGTGAGAAGACAGACTACTTCAATGTATTAAAAAACAAAAATTGCTTTAACTTTACATGAAAGCTTTCATTTTTATAGAGATGCATGTCTAAAATATCATTTATCAATGTTATTTGTGATTACATAAGGAAATACATTAAAAATTACACACGCTTGTAGACTTGTTTCCTTATTTACTTTTAAACCATTACAAAGAAAATATTAAAGAATAAACTTAATGAATTCAATGAAAGACATTTCCTAAAGACCTATTTTATTTTCACTACTTATAAAGGGTTTTTCTTTTTCTCCTGTACCAGGAGTCAAGCAAACTGATGACCATAGGTAAATCTAGTCGACTACCTTTGTAAAGAATGTTTTGTTAGAATACAACTATGCTCTGGCATATTCATTTAAAATACTGCTTTGGCTGCTCTCAGCTACAATAGCAAGGCTGAGCAATTATGATAGAGACCCTCAATTCCTTAAAGCTGGTCTCTGTTTTACGTTAGGCAGAACTATAAAAGACAATCACATAAACAGAAAATGCCGCATCTCTTGCTTATGATCTTCTCACTGAGAAACCATCTTCCAGGATTAATTCCTGGGACCAGTAATCACAATATTCTCACAGTTCAAACACAATTTTTCCTAACGGGCATCTAATGAAGAAGGTACCACAATTAAAAGACTACTTTTTAAACGCAAGGTAGCAAAATTTTTGGTCCCCCCTCCCCAGCATTAGATGAAAAATCACTTATCACTGGATGGAGACAGGATAATGAGAAGGTAAAAACAATCAAGCCCTTACCAAATTCAATGAAACAGTATGGTCTGACAGCAGTATTGGTCTTCATCATGTTATAGGTAGTGATGAACTCCTTCTGAAGCTCATCCAGGAAAGAGAAGGCCAGAACATTGGGGTAATTTTCAGTGCACAACATCATGTAGCTCACTCCCAAAGAGCTAATAAAACTACAGTGTAAAAAACATCGGTCTTAAAATTTCAAATTAAATCACAGTATAATTCGTTGCTTCACAAGACTGGTTCTGTATACCATAAACTGCTGCTACAGTGCCAACAGAGATATTAGCATTACAAACTCCAGCAAAAATGTTACCCAAATATGATTCTATTTTCATTAGCAGTTTAAAAACAGCAGGCAAAAATAACAGAATGTTCCTAAAGGAGGATGAGACTATTACAGCTTGAACGCTTCAGACACTGATTCCTCTGGGTACAAAGCAGAGAAGAACACTCAAATGTGAAAGTTACAGATTGCTTTGCATTTGATTCTTCAAGTTGCTGGAACTCAGTAGTGTCTGAGTCACAAACTCTTTAGAAACCTTACACAAGTTCTGGTCACTCTCCCTAGAATGTATAAAAACAGCAGACTTCGGCAAACAATTTCAAGGTCGTTGAGGTTTTCTAGGTTTTATAGTAATAAATCATTGACCACTGGGGAATGGAGAAATTTATGAGTTAATAAAACCAATAAATAGAAGGGAGAACAAGAGCACTGCTGGGTCCTGTCTGGTAAACACTGGTGAACAGCAGTGCTGGAATTGGCAAGTCAGCACTCTGCAACCGACAGTGAAGACTGAATCAAGCACGCACAATCAACAGATACTAACTTAGGTGGGAGTTCTGATAAGATGCTAGAAATTGTGCACAGTTTTAGTACATCTTTTATGAATTCCTTGTGGTAGAAGGGCATAACATTATACAATGAAAATTGGACAACACCTTGGTCAAATGTTCTAATGTCACTAATGTAACTCCATGTCCCATACGTCCCACGTGTCCAGGTGTGATGCCATCAAAGAGATATCTCAGTCATATGGCATTATGGCCAAAAAATTAAAAGTTTTAATCATGAAGGAACATCAGAATGGTCAACAGCCTAACTTTTAAAAAGAAGAGAGTAGTATTCTTTAAAAACCTTACAGTTGAAGGGAAGAAATAAATTAATACATTGACTAGAACTGAGAGCGGTAAAATAGTATAAGAAAAGACTATCCCTAGTCTTAAAAAATACGCTGAAATAGTTAGGAAAAATGTATTCTTTAATTTGTATGTTTCTCTATCTTATTTATAAAGGACAGAAAAACAATAGTGCAAGTGGGGTAAAATGAAAATAAATACTACAACAGGTATTTATTTATACCTTCCTTATATAACTTCTGTGTACTTTTCAAATTATTTTTAAATAGAAACAAAAGTTTAAAGAACACCACAGTAAACATTAATTTTTTTTTCCCACGAAATAACCAAAACCTAGGAGTACATGCTCCCAAAAAAATTTTTTTTCTTCAAAGAAAGATTTTTCATTATAAAAAAATCTTTGACAGAAACAGAATATAACATACAGCAACTAAATACAAGACAACTGATGATTGGTTCCTATCTATTCCAAACTCCCAGGTGGTTAGCTAGGAGCCATTTCATTGTCCTCTAATATTGTGATAAAGATTCGGGAGATCGTTTTTTTGTTATGATAGGACTTTACTAAATTTCCATATAAATAACAGAACTGAACACAGACTACTGATAATTCATCCTACATGACTTCTTTTGCTTGCACAAAATTTAACTGAATAATAAATGTAATCAAGGAAACCCTGTTTATTTTAAATTTTGTTTATTTTTGTTTGTTTGGGAGTCATATCTAGCAATACTCAGGGGTTACTCCTGGGAATGCACTCAAGAAGCACTCCTGGCGGTGCTTGGGAAGCACATGGAATGCCAGGGATTGAACCCAGGTGGGGCAATACAAGGCAAGTGCCTTACCTGCTGTACGACCTCTCTGGCCCCAAGCCCGGATTTTTAAATATTATGTGTCAGCATTTTTAGGGAGCCTTTATATTGTAATAAATACTTGATATCTTATAAAAAAGGCTACAATGTGTTCCATATTACAGCTTCTCATAGTGTTTTGGCCTTATGATGCTCAAGTTTTTAAATGCCAAGTTAGTTTTCTAAAAGTACATAAAACCGGGCTGGAGGGATAGCACGGCAGGTAGGGTGTTTGACTTGCACGCAACCGACCCGTTCAATTCCCAGCATCCCATATGGTTCCCTGAGCACTGCCAGGAGTAATTCCTAACTGCAGAGCCAGGAGTAACCCCTGGGTATTGCTGAGTATGACACACACACCAAAAAAAGGCAAAAAAAAAAAGTGTATAAAACTTTATTTACCTATACATCAAAAGACTCATGCCTTTACAGTTATCACTGGGACAGCCTACGAGATCTCACCATTTCACTGACATATATATTTCAATGAATATGTACATGGTACTTATATATAATATTTAGAGTCCTAGAAATGCCCCTTGAGTCACTAGATGCGTGCCAGTTTGTGCATACTTTCGCCCAGCAGGTTTCCGCCTGTTCTCATGTGCTGACCACTACTGGACGCTCCTTAGATTCACCGAACTTGCATTTTACAGATGACTCGGTGCTTGCCCTTCTCCTTTGAGGATCAGCAGTAACAGTAACAGGTAGTTTTCTGACCATTTAGCAAAAACAGTCTTTTATTAAGTGCCTTACCTCTCCACAGGTACACAGGTACACACACACACACACACATGCCCTTATGCACGCCTTTCCAAAATCTGGAGTGTCTAGAATAGGTAATGCTGGTAAGTTTAAACTCCAGGAACAAGGATTTAGCCCTTCAACCACTTACTGGAAAAGCTAATTCTATCACATATTCATAACTGAAGTGATTTCTTACGCCCCCCCCCTCCAAAATTAATAATACTGAAGGTAAATTTGTCTGGTGTCTAATTTTATTTATAAACTGTGAAAGAAATTTACACATCAACAAACCCTGAGATTATAAGGACAACTCTGGTCTGCTGCACCAGCCTTGCTAGTGAAAGTCACAATCTCCACAGTAAATACACAGCACCAAATACATACATGGAATTCTTCTCTTCTGGGTTGGATGTCAGACACTCCTGCACTTGCAACTTGGAACTGAAGATGCTACAACAATGGCATAAAAGCAAGGTAGAGAAGCAAACTACTCTGTGCGCGTGGCAAGTGAAGCCGTACACAGCCACATAGGAGACAGGACTAACTCACACTTGCATCACCTATTTCCGACTCTGTCTCCACAGAAGACCTGCTTCTCCTTTGTAGCCCCTTCGCCCAGTGAACAATTTTCCTGGGTGACGTCAAGTTCTCCAGTACAACAGTTATCTTTAATCTGTTTAAAATGCTAAGTATTATTTTCAAAATGAAATTTCCACATTGAATTCCATTCTCAAAAAAATTAAGTGTGTAGGCTCGTTCTTTGTTATTTTTTAATTTTTTTCTTTTTTTAAATTTGATTGAATCACCATGAGATAGTTACAAGCTTTCATGTTTGGGTTACAATCACACAATGATCAAACACCAGTGCACATTCCCCACCACCAATATCCCTGGTTACCCACCCCCTTTCCAACCTTCCCCCTGCCTCCATGGCAGACAATACTCCCCATACTCTCTCTCTCCTTTTGGGCATCGTGGTCTGCAACCCAGACACTGAGAGGCCGTCACGTTTGCTCCTTTATCACTTTCTGCACACATCTCCCATCCCGACTGGCCTCCAGCCATCATTCTCCTAGTGATCCCTTCTCTGAGGCTTGTTCTTGAAGCCTGTGTTCCCCGTGAACACTACCTCACTCACTTTTTCTGTTATTTCCTCTCTGGAGAAACCAGTGTTCTCTCCTGAACACACATTTCCCCACCTTATCTCCTCTCACATCTTTCTAAGCAAGTTTTCATTCAGTAAAAATTAACCTGCTTCAATTTTTAAAAAAGTGTTTAAACTTTTAAATATAAAAAAGACTTGATTTAAAAGTTATCAAGTCCAAAAAAAAAAGTTATCAAGTCATTGTTCTATATTCCAAGAAATGCACGATTTCCCAATGTCCTACTCCTTCAGAATTAGCTCGTCACAAGTTTCTGTGATAAGACTTGGCCCAGTGCTAACTTTGGCAGCACATATACTTACAAAAAAGATCTGACCCTTTGGAAAAATAGAAAGCAAGCATATCATAACCAAAATTAAGGGAACAGACGAATGACACTTTCAGCCCCTTAGAAAAGTAACGAGAGTTCCTCTTTCACCCCATCCCTGCCACACAAACTGCTTGCACCTTTTTTGATATGTGCAATTCTGACTGATGTGAGGAGGTATTTCATTGTCATCTCGATTTGGAGTTCTCTGATGATAAGTGATGCTGAGCGTTTTTTCATATGCTTATTGGCCATCCACCTGTCTACTCTGAGAAGTGTCTATTCATTTCTTCTCCCCATTTATTGATAGGGTTTTTGAATTTTTTGTTATTGTTGACCTTTGTGAGGAGTTTATATATCCTAGATATCAAACCTTTATCTGCTCTGTTGAATGCAAATATTTTTTCCCCATTCAGTTAGCTATCTTTCAGTTTTAGCCCAAGTTTTGTTTTTTGGTTTTTTGTTTGTTTGTTTGCCATGCAGATGCTCTTTAACTTTATGCAGTCCCATTTGTTCAGTTTTTATTTTGTTGTCTTTGCCAGTGGTATCAGATCACTGAAGGTACCTCTGAGATCCAAATCTTGGAGTGTTCTGTCTATGTTTTCCTCAATGTACTTTACAGGTTCTGGTCAGATCTCAAGGATTTTGATGCATTGGAATTGACTTGTATGAGGGATGTGGTGAAAATGGGACTCTTATCCACTGTCTGATACAACCCCTGTGGAAAACAGTATGGAGAATCCTCAGTAAACCTACAATTTAACTGCCATATAACCCAGCAATTCTTTGGGCATCTACCTACAGGACATAAAAACACTCTCAAAAGGCCATGCATGCCAGTCAGCTTTCATTGCTGCCCTCAGTATGATAGCTAAGATACGGAATCAACCTAGGTGTCCAATGAAAGATGAATGGGTTGTGAAGATATATATACATCTGAATATACACACAACAGAATACT